ACTCAAAGGTGGTACGTCATTGATGACTTTAAGGAGGGTGAGGAAATTTGCTGCGATTACTGTCTGTTCTGCAATCCCATAGACTTCGAGTTGAAAGATGATTGCTATACGGAATGCATCAACGGAGCAGCAAACAGATGCCGTGGGATGTCCGCAGAAGACTACGTCCAGAAGCGATTTCATGCATGTGCTCGATTGCTTCACAACTTCGGCATGGGGCAAACGGTATCTTCTCCCACCATCGTAATCTCCGAGATGAACCCGCACGATGACTTGATGAAGTTTTTACACGAGGCGATGATCATCTTCAATGAGAATCCAGGTCTCCAGAAGGAGATTTCGTTCTTCGGGGGGATCAGGTTGTCATCAACAATGACGGAGAACTTCTTCAAAACGAGGAGAGGACCCAGCATCCATGTGGAAAAGCAGATAGTCGGCAGCGCCAAGTACTTCCAGGGATCCTATGACCTTGGCAACGTATGCTACACCAAATACCTCAAGGCCATACTGGAACCCGATGTATTCCGCACTATATTCGGAGATGATCCCACGGAGGAACGGGTAGGTGACATGGTGGAAGCGCTGCTGGGCATGTTCGAAATTGCTCAACTCTTCAGGCACATGTTCAGGAGATGGGGTGACATCGAAGCTTTGAGGACGGGATTAGAGGAATCCATCAAACGCGTCACTGCATCGCTGTACGACAGGACAACATATGAGAACCGAAAGCGATCGATGATTAGAACCATGGACCCGCACTCTGATGAGGCGGCAAGCGTGGCGCTGATTCTCGTCCGCATGAGGACTATGCCGCTTCCTGAATTCGACATCGACCACTTCTTCGAAATCGGAAAAGAACCAGAACAGGGAATAGGAGCCACTGGCGAGCCCGAGGCCGAAGGTGTCGATATGGAGACTGAAAGTGTACAGGAGAAGGAGGAGCAAGATGTGGACATGTCCGACCCGAAGACATCAATACTGCATGCCATCGACGAATTTGAGAAGAAGATCGGGCGGGCAGAATTCTGCATCCACTGCATGGAGTCGGGACACACAACTCTCAATTGCGAGAAGACCCTTTCATCCTCACCTACAGTCACCTCGGTGTTGAGTGATTGGAAGAAGAGAGTGAAGGGAGAGGTTGCACCCGACGATGTACCATCAGGACATCCAACCGAACAGCCTAAGAAGAAGAAGCAGAGAGCGTCGCCCACTCCAGATAGAAAGGTCGACAGCGAGTTCAGGCGCAAAGAAATGTTAAAAGCAAGAGTCGTGACAATGTTCGACCATGACGGATTCACCTTGATCGAAAGTGCTGATGGAGTCGAAGGAGGACCACATTCCTACAATGGGCGGAAGCTTGTGGAAGCAGGCCCTAAGGATATGAAAGAGGTGTATGAATTTGTCGAGAAGGCATTTGTGCACTCCAGTTCCCTCACACCAAAGGCATGTCATCACTTCTATCCCCTACCAACACGGAGGGAGAAGGGATACAAGCCGATCGACCCCATGACGATGGTCGGGAAAGTTGAACTAGTACCGATCAACGGAGTCACTTTCGCTGCAAAGAACTCCGACTACGGCAACCACAAGTATCCGACTCCAGACTGTCGAGTACCTGAATACAGCCAAACGAGCCAGGCCCTGAGTCGTCGATTGGGAGCGAAGTTGAGACATCGAATTGGACGCCAGTTCAGGACAGGAGGAAGACTCGCACCAATCAAATGCGATGAAGGCGCATGGGTGTCATGGGAAGACCTGTTAGGTGATAATGCAGTTTGGGAAGACGGTTATCACTACGGCAACATAGATATCGTGACCAAGAAGGCGCGTTTGGAGAAGTGCTTCGACCAAAACTACGAGTGTTTCCGCATGACCAAGAGGGTCAGATTCCAAATGTTGGCGGTCCGCGTTCACCCTGATGAACTCAATGAGCCTGATGACCCGATGGAGAAGGAATGGATTAACGAACTCAAGGACATGGGAATCTCTAAAGGAAGACTCCACCATAGCGATGGATGGTGCTTTCCCGTGGCTGTAAGAGCAACCTCGGCACACTCAACGGACGGCGGAGGTTATGACGTTACCATCGACATCGACCACATTGGGTCGAGAATGACCAACGACATGGCCCTATCTATGGTGACTGCATTTCACGCTACCAATCTCGGAGCGCTGACTTCAATCATGCGACGAGGGCTAGTGCCGGGAGGTCTCGGTTCATCGGGAAGGGATTCTATCCACTTCACATGTTTTCCGCCATGGGCCTGGGAGCAGGGCTACAAGGGTAAACCTTGGCTGGGTCATAAGGTCGCAATGAGGGATCGCCCAGTGGTTCTCTACATTCCGGTGTGGAAGCTGCAGGACTTCTCATCTCAGCGACTGGGTCTCTATTGGTTGAGAACGTCGTTCCCTTCGATGAGGTTAAAGGGGCATGGTTGCAATGCGACAATGCGGAACCCGGACAGCCTGAGAAGATCGAATGGATCCGGTTACTCAGTGGGGAACCCGACCCTGGAAGCTACCTTGTTCTAGAGTCCAAATACGGAAACCCGATCATGATTCCACGCTTTCAAAAGCTTGAGAGCTTAGCGGTTGAGGTTCAGGACGATACCTACTCCGAGGACGACGCCAAAATCTCAAAGCTGTTGGGTATGATCGAGGAGAGTGATGTTTACCCAGAATATGATAGCACCGAGTGGCAGGAACTCTTCGAGGAGATCGTGTACCGCCGAGCGATGAAAGACTATGATTCAAGGCCGTGTCCTAACTGTCTTGGCGAAGTCGATGTGCGATTGACGATATGTCCGCACTGCGTAGCGGTTTTGATCGCGAATGGGAAGCTCACGCATGTGGTACCCAAGGAGACAAGGGACCGCAATCAACGATCACCTCCGAAAGATGTCCCAGCCAGTTCTTCCGGTGAAACAACCTCTGCTGCAGGTGCAAACATCGATGAAGTCATCAAGAACGCACGCAAGACAGCCGAAGAGGTCATTGAGATCGAGGAATCCGAAGGAGAGGAAGAGGAGGAAGTTCCTATCATTTTGAAGGAACGACCGGACGAAGCTGAAGGCGAGCCCGAGTATCGGGAGGTCCCTCAAGATGGATACGGGAATGAACTTCCGAAGCCTTTCCCCTTCGCAATTGACGAATTGCCGCAAGAAGCTGCGATCCCCATCGACCACAACTTTGCCGTCACACAGCAATTTGATCTGAGGTTGATGAAGTTGATCAAGGGCTTGGCCAACGCAACGTTCGACATCAACTGCTTTGAGAGTCGTGAAGATGTACTACGAATGTTCGACGATGGACAGCGGCATGACACTCCGCACAATAGATGGCCAATAGTACCGAAAGATCCGGATACTGGGTTTCCAAGACGTCTCAAGAGAGCCGAGGTCGTAGGTATGAGCAGATGGACCGACGACGTGTTTGCAGCAGAAGCGTGGCAGATCTATGAATTCCACGCCAATGTTGTTCATCCGATGATGATCACTGCAATCCGCTGCGGGCTTAGCCACAAGTACCTCAAAGAGGTCGGCAGCACTCAGCGCAGCACGAGTGATCCAAAGGCTCGAAAGTCTGAGACCCAGGATGAGATCATCGAGAAATTGGCATTCATCTCAAATTTCATCAGACGCATGATCAAGAAGACCTTCGGAGCGAGCCGATATAGTTACTACCAGAAACCAGATGACGAAAGTGCCGCTCCATACAAATTCATCGACATTAGTCCCGCCATCAAATCGGAGAGGAAGAATGTCACGAAGGAGATCCTCGTTGCATGCCGCTACTATGGCATAGAGGTATCCGATATCCAAGAAAGGAAATTGAAGTCCTTCGAGGAGCAGATCCGAGCGGGAAATCCAAGGAACGTTGAGCTCATCAAGGACTACATTGGCTTTGTCGGCGCTGACTACATGCGACAACTCACGAATGGTTGAGCATTGGGGTCATACCGACATGCTACTTCCGGTACTTCAAGTACTGAGGGATCGCGGGTAATTCATGATGACCGTTTTGGCATCATGGGAGCGAGATAGGATTGTGTCTCACACCGTTGGTAATCGCATGATACCATAGGTAGGTGCACGTTTTCCGCTTGTAGCTCCATTGCCTGTTTGATCCAACTTTCAAGCGAATGCAAGATCTTTTGCTAATTCAATTCAATAGGACATACTGGTTGACCTCCAATACACTTTTGAGAACGTGATTCGTTCTCCGGTTTTTACATCCACTCATCTCCCTTCCCCGTCGAAGTACGGATGTGGGGGGTGTCAATAGGGATGGGGTCCCAGTATAGTCGCTAAACAGGTACATGCCATATACTTTTGGCTCAAGTGCCCAACCAGGTAAAAAGGAGCTTTAGCGCGCGAGCTTCATGTTGACCTAAGAGCTAGAACGGGGCCAGGGCACACCTTTCCATCCGTTCGCAGGCATCAAGACAGGACATACCTGGACACACAAGGGGTGGTTAATGGACACCCCGGTGTCCTGGTAATTGTTTCTTTCAACATGCTCAGCCTTTCCAAATCTCAAATCCTCAGAGTCACATGGCAGATCGCGAACCAAAAGGCCCTGACGCGTGCCTTTTGAACCTTAGAGCAGGGTTTTGTGTTGCTCCCCGCTTTTCCTCACTTGAACTGGCCAGGAGTCCGCCTCCCCCAGTCTAGACAGTGAAATTTCGAAGGGCCTGCAGACTTCGCAGAGAATCCGCAGCGCAGGCGCCAAGGACTTCAAGGGCGTCTTCGACCCTCACTTCTTAGTCTTCGAATTTGTCACTGGCTTTCTCCTACGGCCTCGCCAGGCGTGGGTGGGTGCTGGAGGAGGGTTACTATTTGGTGGCGGATTCAGCTAACTATAGAATAAGAGCAACCTCCTCTTTTGTTGAAGGAGCTGCATGGGATCAAGGCTTTCATGGAAACTGGGCATGGTTTTGATATGTTTTGATACTTTCAGGATCTTTCAGGGTTCGCTTGTGACCAGCGGGTAGCAGGATGTCTAGCCGGATTTTACTCAAAACATCTTCTGCACTGGACTCGTCTGCGCTTTGTTGGGTTTGGGTGAACCCCTCGTGCCTTCTGGGGGGTCGATGGATCGAGGGATCTGCGAGTGCCCATCGGACAGATCACTCGACGCCCGGGGGTCGTTTGGTCGGCACTCAGTGGTTAGATGGGTTGAGACCTCAAACCGAGAGATCGAATCTGCTTCATAGATCGAGTGATTTAGAGTGATCATGATTGATGTAGAGTGCTCCCATCTCCTCGTTTTTCACATCGTTTTTAACACACCATTCGTGAGGTTGTTATGGGTGCAGGTGGAGATGGTCAACGAGTTCTCTGAGGCCTTGCGATCAGGCCACGACCGGTGGGTGAAACGCGGAGCCTCGCGGAAAACCCAAACCGGTGAGCCTCGCGTGTTTTCCGAAGCGGAAAGAGGCCCAAGTAGACCCGGTCGAATGAACGAGAGCTGTGGTGTTTGGGAAGGTTTTGGGAAGGTTTTGGATGAGCTTCTTTGGGTTCGCACGGATGTTCAGCGGGGATGGTGAGTGCATGGGCAGAGTTTGAAAGGAATTGGGGGGGGGCTGGAGATGGACGAAAGCTCTTGATATATATCAATTGTGTCCCTTTTGAATGTGGATTTACTGATCTGTCATGCTGCCATGCCGAGTCTAAGCATGCGATTCTACTTGAGGACTCAAGCCACAGGGCCCGGGCCGCACGTCGGGGGCGGTTCAGCCGCCGTGCGGCGCACCGAGTAGGGCGGTGCCATGTTGGTCCGACTTGACCAGCCCTACGTGTCACCAGCCCTGTCAGTGAAGCCTAGAGAAATCTACTGACTTGAGCCGAACAAAAGCTAGCCCCACGCGAACGCTCTCGTTTCTTCGTGCGAACAACAAGTCCAAACCACCACCACTCCGAGCCTCTTCCGAGCCATGGCTCCCGCCGCGATGGCTCAAACCGCTTTCCATTCCGGTCAGTCGGCTCAGTCGGCTCGCCGACTGACGAAACGAGCCTCGTCGTTCTTCGTGGCTCGTTGCCGAGCGCGTGGACCAGCGCCCTTCGCCCCGCGCCGTGCTCGCAGGTCGGTCCAGTGTAAAGCAGATGATCATGGGCGCGGGCAAGACCTCGGTGGTCTCACCCTTGCGACCTGGCCCGCCATCACTCGGTCAACGAACGCCATGGCGGACTCGAGCAGTCCGGACGAACGCCCGTGGTCGTGGTTGGTCTGCGAGTGATGTCCGGTCGATGTTCCAGTGAGGTCCGGTCGGACCGTCAGGGTGGCTCGGGCTTCTTTTGAAAGCAGCAACCAGGAGTCTTCAAAGGGGTGGTGATTAGTCCCATCCAGTGAGTGGATAATGGGCACCCCGAACCTCCATCGATAGCACCCCTTTGTGACTGCTGGAGGGTAGTTCCTTTTTTGGCTGAACAGGGCGCGTATATGGATGCGTGCGTTGTGGGTGAACTTCGGGGCGAGGCCCGGGCCCCACACTGTGATGAGTCATTTCGACTTCAAACCTTTTGGACACTTGACGAGACTGTTGCTCACCATTCCAATTTGAGACGTCATGTGTACAGGCTGCTCCCATAAACAAATGCTAATACATCGAGGGAAGAACACGACACTTTGGTTGGCGTCCTACCTGGTTACCTATTAAAAGAACATGTCGGTGAAGGAAGCGACCTACGTTGATCTCTAGTGCTCCTTCTCTGTCTCCTACTTCGTGAAACCCGCGTGCGTGGCACGAGCCGCCGCTCCTTCGAACCCCACCGCGTGGTGGACCGGGGAGCCTCCTGCGCCCCGCGCCCACGACCTGCGCGACCCCCACGACGCGCACGACCCGCACGACGCGCGACGCGCGTTGAGGTTGGCCTTGATGCACGCGAACGGCAGCCGCATCGTGTGTTTGGTGGTGCCACCAGCACTCATCAGCCTTTCCCGCTCGGTGCTGCAGAGACTCGGATTGCGAGAGGGGTCCCAGTGGTCCCTGTTTTGGGTGAGGTGTTTCTAGGAAAATGGATGAACATGGTTCAAAGCAGGTGAAGGATGGTCTGACAAAGGAGACCATATGGTAGTGGAATATATGTAGTGGTATGGTGCAACAAGGTGCAACAAAGAAAAAGGCTGTGTGTGCTGACTCATTGTGGTGTGTGTTGATTCAGCCCTGCTCCGCGCCATCCGAACATCCGCTCCGTTCCGCTCCGCCCTGCTCCGACGCCACGAGGAATTGCTTTTCCACGGTGGTGCAGAAGAGGGTCTCAACCTTCAAGTGCGATCGTTCGCTAGACCTGGAGGTCGGGAGCACCATGTGGACAGCGGCACATGGGGCTCAGGTCTGGACCAGATGGGACAGTGTCTAGGACGAAACAGGTGGGATCTGATTCTGTGATGCTTGGGGGACGGCGTTTAGGGCACATGTGGGGCACCCGGAGGAGGGGCAAATGGACACATGGATGGACCATCACATTTCTGTGATGTTTGGGAGGTGAGGTAGGCCACCATGACATGGTGGGTCAGTTTTTTCATCAAAGCTTCCCTTCCTAGGCCTAGGCAGGCTCTGTTGGCCTATTAATAGCCTGAACAGAAGAAATGTCCTTTCTTCTTCAGAAAGGAGAAACAGAACCAGAAGTAGTACCAGCAGTTCGTCGGGCTTCACAATGGGTGTCCTCCCAGGATCCACTCACTTAGGGCGTCTCCAACCACTCACTTAGCGGAAACTCCGAGCGTCGTCCCCTGCCTCTGCCGCCCAGCGCCCCTGCCGCCGCCAGCACGCACCGCACTGCACCGCCGCACAGGTGGCGCTCTCCGAGCGCTTGGGGCGGATCGTCAGCCATGGCCGGGGGTCCCAACGCCGGTGCGAGCGGAGTCAGCGTCTGAGCTCGAGGATGAAAAACGCTGCAGCTTTCACGGGATGTGCAGAAGATTTGGACGAATGAAGTTCTCTCTCACGAAGTTTGGGACTTTTGGACCGCACCTTTTTTTGTACGAACCACATGGACTGGATGTTGATGATGCACAGAGTTGGTGATATGACTTTCGAGTTTTGCAGACCATTGAGGGGGGCCCAAAAGCCAAGAGCACGCTGCGTCTTATGTAGTGTGTCATGTACACTGAGAGCCTAAATGACTCATTTTACCACTACGATAGGGGGTGAATGATTTCTACTACTGCATGGGGTGTTCAGTGAGTCAAAACGGAAACAGGTGTGGTGTACGTAGTGTGTCACAGAACCCTTAACTTCTTACCCTTCTCCTGCATCCGAGCCGATTCGGGCACCGCCGGCCGAAACCCACGAGGCGATGAACTCGAGCGTCTTTCTCGGACGCGACCTGCACCCAGACCTCAAAGTCTCACGCATCACAATCTGACGAATCCCATCAATTCCCAGACGCGACCCGAAGAAGGACTGCCATGTCGGACTGCCATGCCGGACTGCAGAAACGGCTAGGGGTGGTGCCAGAAGGGTCGGCGGCAGTCCGACATGGCAGTCCCAGACAGGTCGTGTCTGGGTTACTAAAGCTGTGCCACATGTTTGTCAGGAAGACCCGGATGGCACCACTGGGCCAAGGGTTTTCATGGCACCACTCTGGCATGAAAACTCCTGGATGGTCTATTGACTCGCTCCCCTTCCACATCTCAACTCCTTCCTCCACGGCCCGCTGACCACTCCGGCAGGCGATGTGCTGCTGACCACTCCGGGGGACGTCAAGTCCTTGGAACTGCGTTTCCTGGAGCAGCTAGACTTGGCCAACGACCGCCAGGCCAGGCGCAACACCACGCAGATGAGGAGATGGCGAGGGCAGCATGGGTGGAGAACGTGGCTTTCACGCGGGCGGAGGAAGAGTAGGTTTGGGGGGTCAGAGAATTTCGAGTCGGTTTGATGTCAGATTTCTTTGAGAACCGGGAGCAACTCTTTGCTTGGCATCGGGTATCTGAGACTCACACCAAAAAGACATCTGAGTATTGTTCAGAACCGAGCATGTTCAAATGAAGGACAGGGTCATGAGGACACTGTGAGTAAGCGAAACCCTGACATTTCGTAAGATTCCTTCCTTGTTGCTGCGCGCGTGAAGAGAAGGAGTTTGGACAGTTTTGTCACCCTGCGAGGAGAGAGTGTGTGCAGATGGGACGTGCTTTGGAGCTCATGAAGCAGGGCGTTTGTGCCCCGACAAAAAGAAATCGATGGGGGCAGGTCGGTGGAAGAAAAGACATGCTGGAAACCATGGCTTTCATCACCGAAAAGCTCCAGGAAACGTGCATGTGTCTTTTGCGTGCCTGCACATCCTGGTAGAAGTTATATATATATATATAGCTACCAGGAGCCTCCTGTCGGGGTGTCTATTTATAGCCCGTTAGCTGTTAAGGGGTGTCCATTAACCACCCCTTGAAGGCCCTGGTATTTGTCCCTTTGTTTTGCTTCAAACGTCACCGTCTCACACGCCCCTTGGTGGACTGAGTGAGTGGCCCTTGCGGCCAGACGCGAACTCGGTGGCCGGTTCGTTTTGGGGTTCCTTCGATGCTCGGAGAAAACCGCCCTGTTCTGCCTTTGAAAACCGCCCCAGGTATGATTGATGAGGTGGACTTAGTGCTGCATCCCTTGCGTTCGGAGCTGAACTTCCCCATTGGACCCAAGAACCTCATTGAGCATGCGCCGGACTCTTGGCATCCAATCAGAACGGTTTCAAGGCTGGAAGACGTCCTAGCATGTTTCAAGAACACCTAGCAGGTTTCATGATCCCAGGTCCCTCCAAACCATCTCCAAAGAACTCCAAACGGTCCCTCCAAACCGGGATTTGAACGGCTGGACCCCCTCCAATATGAGGGTTCCGGCCCCTACTTTTCACGGAGGGTCCAGGAGTGTTTGGGATCAAAACTTGGTTCAGAGAATCGATCGTGGCCAACCCAGCTTGGAGACTCAGACTCTGCGCATGGACGACTGGGTGAAGCATAGCTGGGGCTATGAAAGAACACATGTAGAACAAAGCAACCTTGATTTCTGCAAAGCAGTCACGTCATTGCTTGCTACATACCCTCCAGAACTGTGCCCATCCAGCAGCTCCATGATTCCTTGTCCAATAGACCACCAGCAGGCTTTGTCTCCCATCAGCTCCACCAAGCAGTACAAACCCGCCGCCTCCGCTTGTAGTACTGCCCAGGAACGGTGGCGTGCAGTGCTTCACTTGTTGGACGGTTTCTTCAGTGTGGAGAAGGGCCGCGTGCCGCCGCATTTGAAGGATTCCTTGAGAGCCAAGGAGTGTCTCGCTAGCCAAGGGGACCGGACCTGTTGTTTTAACCCGAGTGAGATGGGTCACATCCACCGAACACCGAAGAGAAGGAACACAATTGACAAGTACCCGTGAAAAAGGAAGAATTTATTTGTTTTTCTTTGCGGGGAGGACTGTGAAACCTGTGGAACAGCTCATATACACCATGGAACCACAGAGTTTTCTCAGGTCGGTGTGGAACCTGGGGAGGAACCACAGCTTGGTGTGGAACCCTTTGTTTTCTCTGAGTTCACCCAGTTCACCCAACTCTCGAACCACCGAACTCGCTGAACCCGTGGTCGACCTCGCCGTCCGAGTTCACCTCGGAGCTGCACTGAAGCACCGATTTCGGTCGACCTAACACCATAGGCTTTCGCATGGGAGGGAAGGGCCTGGAGATTTTGAGGGCAAGAGTGAGGGGCAAGTGAATTCCGGCTGTTGGCAGCTTGACCTGGTGATATGATAGGATGATAGGATGACTTCTTCTGAGGATTCTGCAGACTTTGGGGGAGGTGATCCACAAGGGCTGCGACCTGCGCTTCTTGCAGCGGAACCCGCACCTGATTTTGCTGAACGAGGAGTTCTACCACCACGAGGTGCAGCCTGTCTGGCCCCCCAAAGGCAACAGGAGCAGGTGGGTGTGACTGACCCGGGAGCTGGTGGAACTCGTGAGGAGGACGGCGTGCCATCTCCCGAAGACACTCATACCAGGGACTTTTGAAGTCAAAAGCCTCCATTTCGGAGACTCGTTGGGTCGGGTTGTATGTTGTTTTTGAATTTCTCTTTGTTTATACTAAGATCGTTTCAGAAGGGATGCACTTTCGGAAGCTTTCCAAGGGCAGCACTTTTGTGGTCACTTCGGCTTCGTGGATCATGTTTCGTTGTTCCGGGCTCGGAACAAGGGGCACTCCAAGAAAAACGCCCAGGGCTCTCATGTTCGCCTCAGCAGGTGAAGCCCATGATGTGTGACTGGCTGATGCTGTGGCCCCTTGGAGATGTCCGTCCGCGCCAGGCCACCTCTTTGGGTCCCTCCCGGGTCGGTCCGCCCGCCCCACGGTCGGCGCGCGGCTCCCCATGGGGTGGGCCAGCCCAACCCCGCAACGTTTCGGGGCGAAAACGACAGAGGTGTGAGGGCTATACAGGAGCAGGGTTAAGCCGAGGGGATGAGTGGTTTTTTTCGGTTTTGGGGTAAACCGGGACTCTTCGAGGGTCCAGGATTGGTCTCGTGAGCTCAACAGGCCATGCCAGCCACAATGTCTACACATCGGGAAAGTGAAGACACAGGCTCACCAAGCATCCAAAGGCATCTTTTCCTTGGACTCTGGTCATGAAAAGCATTTCTTCGGTCGTCAGAACATGCCAAGCTTGGCGCACAAGAGCTCCGACTGGCTGAGGTTGTCTTCGGAGCATGCCATGACCTCAGCGATGGGTGTACCAGCCAGCTCCACCTTGAAACCATGCCAAAAACTTAACAAAGGAAGAATAGGGAGATTACTGGGATCCTTGGTTGAGTGATGTTGAGTGTCAATTCCAGGTCTCAACATGAACCTGATGGGCGTTTTTATCTCAACTACTGAAAGGTTGTCTCCTCAAAGAGGTATCACACGGGTCTCTTGTGATTCCAATATCAGGAGGCTCTGTCTTGAAAACTGCAAAAGACCATCAAACACCTATAGGCCTATAGGCATAGGAAAATCCATCCGGCAGGACATCACGTTTGAAAAAGAAGAACACCATCTGCATCCCTCCGGAGCTCCTGTGAGGTCGGTCGGGCTTTTGAACAGGCCAGCGGCAACCGAGAGGTGCGCCATGCGCGTGCGCCATGCGCATCCAATTCGGCCTGCGCATGACGCGTGACCCGCGCGCGGGTCGCGCAGGTTGGGGTGTGTTGTGGGAGTTTCCCAGAAGTGATGTTAGGAGTTGGTCATTGGTTTTCGGAGTTTCCAGAAGTTATGCATTCTTCAGCTAGTAGTCGAATATTTCTGACCGCATTTGTGCACATCCATGAAGCATGATAGCTGTAGGAGGTCTTACAGGACGATTTCCAAATCCCCAAGTGAGGCATACATCAAGCCGAAGTACCGTTGGTTTCCAGAGTTGGGGCGGGACATGGATGACAAAGCCTGCTCCAAGCTTACCAGTGATAGACAGAGTCATACCTGGATCTTCCAACTATGCAGAATTTCTGCCTTTTCATCCATGAAACACAGCCAAGGTTGGCAGAAATTGGGCATAGTTGACAAGATCCAGGTATATGATGAGATGGGTTGGGTGCTCGACCCCTCTGTGCATTTTGGGAACCATCTCACCTCTTTACTCACCAAATGGATTTGTATTTGAAAGCAGAATCTCCAGTGGTCCAATCACGGAAGGTCCTCCCGCATGAGGGCGGATTCCAGAGGCATGTGTATCATCACTTTCCTAACACAAACACCAAAAAGCCTCCTCCGCAGCCCCAGCTCAACTCGAAAAAAAGTTTCGCCAGCTGGGATAGCTGGCAGCCTTTCCAAAGAGTCAAAAACCTCCAGACTGCCCCAGCAGAGGGCTCTGACTAAGCAGTTGCAGTTACATGACCGCTAACCGCGTTGCTCAGCCGACCGGCAGGACCGCGGGCTTTCGGAGGATGAGGTTCGTGCCTACTTGCTGCACCGGGTCACGCCTCAACGCTTGGAGGTGGAAGCGCCCATGGAGGCCAGGGCGAGTACCGCACTGACTGACGGACTGACAAAGATCCTACGAGCTGCTTCCAAGGGGCTACCAATGGACAGCCCTACACTGCTTATAGGTCACCATTGGAGACCCGTTGGAAGCGCTAAGTAGAACCATTCCATGTCCATTCCATTCCATTTCCATTCCATGCTCCTCCATGTGGTCTGCAAAAATCTGACATTCTCAGAGGCTGGGATGGCATGGCATGGTATGGCTATGGATATTTCAGGATATTGATCCCATACACTCCGGAATATATGCCATACATTGACCCCCCCCAGTCAACCACCCCTGGCCGTTTCTCGGCAGTCCGGCACCCCCCGTGTCTGGGGATGGCATGGCCCCGAGTTCCGAGGGATCAGCTGGAACCACACTCCCTCACAAGCCTTCGAGTCAGGAGGTGGATGCCCGTTACGGCCCCTTTTCTTCGGATGACCAGGACATTTCGAAGACCAGGTGAATTAGATGAGGATCCCATGATGTCAGCAAGTCGGACTCCTTGTCATTGGACGACAGGAGATTTCAAGTGATGACTCTGATCTGATTCTGCGATTCGCTTTTCTCGGGTCGGGACGGCCACCCATCCAGGTGTGGCAAGCCTGTCTCGCGCGGGCCGGTGGCGGCAGTGCGGCCGCTCGTTCCTCGAGCGCATGGATCAATGAGGTGCTCAAAGGTGACTTGGTCCGTGACCCCCGATGTGTCCAACGTGACAAGAACAGGGACTCCGCGCAAGGGTGGACCGCCTCCTTCCTTTGTGTTTGTTCGCGCGTTTCGGCATGCAAGTAAAGGCTTGAAAACAGGACAATCACCTTCAATCCGCCTGAAAAGGGACGTTGAGGACTGAACACTTTAGAGAAGCCTCATCTCATCACACTTTGGAGAAGGGAAAGACTTCCGACTTGCAGTCTACCAAGCTCGTTGGTTCAGTAGGCTTATCAGGTTGCTAGGCATCTGCTGATGCAGCACTGAACCCTTCGTGCATGGCATGTGGGAGCCATGTCGTACCAGTTGAAGAGTTTTTGACCCACAAGGCTCTGTCGACTCTCCAGCCATTCGCCGGCTTCAACCCTGGTCTGGCTGATGGTGGGGGTCGAGCAAAACGGAAGGTTGAAAAAGGGAATGGGAGTGGTTGACAGTGGAAGGGGACCGCATGAGTTTTTCGACACTCGATCTGTGACCAGAAAGCCAGACCCCAGACCAAATGCCTCAAAATCCACACGAACCGATCGCCTGAGCACGAACGAACCGATCGTCTCGCCTCTTCCTCTGCGTCAGACGTCTCATCGAAGGCCTCAGCCGAACGAACCGGCCGAACGCCGAAGCCGGTTTCGTCCCTCTCAGGTGCTGTGGGCACCAAGGCAGGGCCACACCGCTTGGAGCTGCCACGACCAGACATTGGAGGCTCCCTCGCCGTGCGGTCTGCGGCGCGGGTGGAGCGGTCGGAGCAGTGCGGAGCGGGCGCGAAGTCGGTGAAAGTGGGAGGCGCCTGAGGTTCCATGAGCATGAAGATTTGTGTCTTGAAGCCCCCCAGATTTGAGGGCAAGAAAAGATGCTACTTGAATACATAAGAATACCCGAATACCCTTCAATCAATCCAAACTCATCCCTTTTCTGGAACACCCAGCTCTGAAAATCTTGCCATCCAAAACCAGCACCTTCCAGCTGGAGGTGGTGTTTTGGTCCTTCAAAAAGGTGCTTTCTGCTGGGCACCTTCAAGGAAAGCCACCAACACCTCGGTTCGGAGGGTCGAGAGCCCTCCCTCTCCAGGTGCAGTGTCCTTCGAGCCAGTGGCACGGTCAGACTACGTGGCCACTCGCGTGGAAGCCACCAGCTCGGGACAAGTGCGCGTCTTGCTGGAAGAAACGGAGGACAGGTGGACACAGGTGAACACAGGTGGATGCAGATGGAAGCAATTTGCTGATGTACAGTCCCTGAAAAGTATCTATGGTTGAAGTGGAAACAGAACCACCGAACTTTAGTGAACTAGATTGGCTTGGAGGTAAGCCTAGAACAGAGTCTGATTTCTTTTGAGTTGCAAGTCTTTGTTTGAATCTACGATCTTCTTTCCATCCAAAAGCACATCAGATGATGACCTCCAGCTGCCTAATCCCCGGCAGCTTGACCTTCCTAGTCTATTCATGTCGTCTATTCTATTCTCTTCCATGTTCGCTCATGTTCATCCATTTTCCCCCAAACACCTCACGCACGCATTCGCATGGCCTCGCGTGGCTCCGAAGCAGGAGGGTGCTCGGCAACGCGGCGAGCGGGTGGAGCGCCTCCCAGCGAAGGACGCCAAGTCGATGAACTTGACCCTTGGCCTCGCTGTGTACACGTTTCGCGTTGACGCGCCGTCGACAGGACGACACGCTGAGATCCTTTTTCGGCCGAGGTAGGGTCTCCGGAAGGAGTGGCTCCCGCAAAAAGAAGTGGGTGTGTATTAACAGAACATACATATATACCAAGAGTCACAAAGGGGTGGGGTTTAGTCCCATCCAGTGAGTGGAGTAGCTGGCCACCCCGAACCTCCATCGATAGCATCCCGTCTTGTGACTGGTAGGGAGATCTTCCAAAGACCTCTGAAAGAAAGAATATCGATCCCAGGGGGGTCTATAATTGAAACATACACACACTCAACTGGGTGTTCTTCCCGAAGAGTTCCGCTTTGGCCCGCGCCATGGGTCCAACACCCGGGAGATCGTCAGGTCCGGCGGCGGGTAGTCAGTCAGACTAGAGAGTTCCGTCAGGGGGCGGGTGAACCGCGGCGCCGGTGGAGCGGTGAAGGTGAAAGAGCCACCTTCGAAGAGTACTTCGAATGGTTCCCATGCCGGAATCCATGCTGCGACAGATTCGGACATGAACCGGCTATGGGGCCCTGGGGATGAATGACAAGAGCCGGCAGGTGGTGCCGCAGATGAATCATGAAGCATCACAAAAAGCACCCCACCCCAAACCCACGTATTAAGTTGTGAGACCTGGCACAATCAACCTCTGCAGAAGTTTTTTCACACTCCGAAAGGGAGAGCTGCGGAGCTGGTTCATTCCAGAACTGAGGAGTTGGGATTGGCTCCAGGCGACTCTGGACCGGACCCGGGTTGGGTTTGAAGCATCACACCGGACGGACAGCCTGTTGTGCACGGGTGCACGGGTTCTTCGGTTCATGAAGGAGAGCACCTTCACACAGGATTCTTGAGGTGCCTTCACTTGTGGCTGTGATTTTGTGTTTTGGGGGGACCCCGGACTGGCCCTGTCTGGGCAGTCTGGTCATGTTCGGACTATATTTCCCGAACCAAACCCAGAGGGTCGATGAACAGGGGTCGGTCTTTGTCTCCCTATTTTAAGACACACCCAAGACACACGGCAGGCACGTTCATGTTGGTTTCATCAAAGAGGGGTTCTCCTGAATGTCATGCTCTTGGTTTAGGTTGCTCACTTTTTTCATGATGCTTGACTTGAAGTCGTATGTCAACCGCTCATTTTCTCATTTTCGGACTTGAAGTTGGTGTCCAAGCCCTTCTTTAAGTCTTTGAGATGATAGCAGGGTGAAGTTTGATGCTAGGAGACTCACCTCACTCTAGGTCTCTAGGTGACACGGCCAAAGATTCTTCCCAACTCTTCAGTGTCCAGCCCTCAGAGGTAGTTCACCAGAACCAAGTCGGACAAGGCTCATGGGAAGCTGGTCCCAGCGATGCCCAGCTCTGAAGTTGGGAACAGGTCTACCTGCCCTTCAGCTTACAGAAGATCGACCGCGTCACCTTCGGAATCATGTCCTCTGAGCAGGCAGGGCATGGCAGTGCTCCTAGCTGCACGGTGGAACGATGTCAGACGGGGCCCCGCAAGGCAGACGGAGTGCACGACCTGGTCGGCCAGAGCATGTCACCGGGGAGGGTACGTGTGAACGTGAACCACGAGCACCATGGAACAGCTTCAGGAAGAACTGCGGTGATGAATTGGAGAGGCTTGTTCCCATGAAAGACGCACCTCAATCCATCTGGATACAGTCTCTGAATATCTCTGATGTGTTTTTTTCTTTTTGTCTTCATCTTCCGGTGATTTTTTTGGATCAAGGTGAGGTTCCTCTGACCAAAGCTCGGAGTGTTTTTGTGTCGCAGGTGGCAGCCGCTCTGGCAGAGCAGCCGCTCATGCCGCTCACGCGGGCGAAGCTGGCGATTCCCTTCGTAGGCAGAGGGCGGGAAGAGGGAGGTCTGAAGAATCATGGGGGGTGTTAAGCTTTAAGGGACCATATACACGAGAATCATGGGCCATATACACGAGAATCTCGAATCATGGGGGGTGTATCAGGTAGAGGTCTGAAGAATCTCGTCTGAAGAATCTCGACCATATACACGAGAATCATGGGCCAGCTCTTTTTTCTCCACCCGCCAAAAACTCTGGGTTTTCCTCTGGATGTTGTCACCATTGAGGGATGGACACATACCAGTGGTTCACGGTGACCGGTGTTTTTGACTTCCAGGTCTTTGTGCTCAAATCAACATTTATTTTTATCACTTCCAATGCATTGTAGATCAGACCGCACTTGTCATGTATTTGGTGTTAGACAAGCCGGAAGATTTGGGACCATATTGCAAACATACAACACCTTCCTGCCGGGTGTTGGTGTTCTGATGGTTGTCTACTTGAGGTGAAGACTTCCATAGAGTTGCTGTCCTTCATTCGTTCCTTTGCCAACTGCTAGTAGCTGACACAGCACCTGCTCGCGCGAGGCAAAGACGTGCCATCGCAATCCAGTGAGTTCGCACATCCCGATGCAACTTGGATGATGTTACCATGTCCCATAGGTAGACACCCTGGCCCACATGCCATTGGGATCATATGCCAATGCCATTCATCCCGATGAACATGGGATCGGCATTTTTGGGAGACACGCTGGCCCAATGGGTCTTCTTCCAGGGGGTCGCTGCCTGGGAGGTCTCCCTATTTTAATTTACACCCATGCCCAGAGACACGCGAACACCAGGGACCTTGGATGACAACAGTTACCAGCTGCATTTCTCTTTTAATTGTTCCCCTTGGCATCCCAGACTCTCCCGGCTGCACAACTCGCTCGCATTGATCACACGGCTGCTCGCGACTGCTCTCGCGACTGCTCTCGCTCCCTCTGACCCTCTGACCCACGAACTGGTCGCCACTCGCCACCCCTTCCACCCTGGTTTTGGCCATCTCAATTCAGACTGTCCCAAGGTGGTCATTGGCCTCACGACCTTGGCCTATCGCTACGAGGGCCTTCGGCGCGAGGATTTCGACGAGGTCCTAGGCCGGGGCCTCGGCAACGGCGTCGCTCGGACCGGGAACGAGGCGTCGTTCCGCGCGTGGAACGAGAATCCGTAAATAGCAGGAGTGACGTTGAATTGTGTACGGAGTTTTTTCTGTGTACCAATGCGCCTGTCTGTGGTATTTGGATATATTTTGGATGCTTCGGTCGTATGTTGAACGCTTAGTCAAAGGAAGTTTAGTGTGCAAAACTTCCGTGTTACGGACATTCAACAGCTGTTCAACCACCACTCATCATACACCACTCATCATACACCACTCATCATACACCACTCATCATACACCACTCATCATACACCACTCATCATACACCACTCATCATACACCACTCATCGTACACCACTCATCATAGACCACTCATCATACACCACTCATCATACATCACTCATCATAGACACCTCATCATACACCACTCATCATACACCACTCATCATACACCACTCATCATACACCACTCATCATACACCACTCATCATACACCACTCATCATACACCACTCATCATACACTACTCATCATACACCACTCATCATACACGACTGATCACACACCACTTGGCGACTTTCTAGTACAACTCTAGTACGCGGAGCAATCTGTAGAGCTGGAAGCTGAGAACTGGCGACTTTCTAGTACAACTTTAGTACGTGGAGCAATCTGTAGAGCTGGAAGCTGAGAACTGGCGACTTTGTAGTACAACTTTAGTACGCGGAGTATCTGGCGAGCTGGACGATGAGAACTGGCGACTTTGTAGTACAACTTTAGTACGCGGAGTATCTGGCGAGCTGGACGATGAGAACTGGCGACTTTGTAGTACAACTTTAGTACGCGGAGTATCTGTGGAGCTGGAAGCTGAGAACTGGCGACTTTCTAGTACAACTTTAGTACGCTGAGCAATCTGTAGAGCTGGAAGCTGAGAACTGGCGACTTTCTAGTACAACGTTAGTACGCGGAGCAATCTGTAGAGCTGGAAGCTGAGAACTGGCGAC